CTTAGTCTCCGCCAGTTGAGCTTGGAGCAGCTGAAACTATTTCCGCTATGCCGTCTATCGCTGGATGAGATGGTCCCTCCATCTCTACTTCCAATTCAGAATCGTCATTGGGTAAACTCGGGTATCCTTGAAAAGTCACCACTGTATTTCCTGTAGCCCCACTTGATTCTCTTACAGGCAAATCCTGTCCTGTTAGAACTTCTCTGGCCAATCCGTTAAACCAGGTTTTCACTTTACTCTTTTTCCGAAATATTTTCGAAGTCTCGGGCATCTAGATTTGGGTTCTAGTTTATTCCACTGCTGCCACCACTTTTGTAAACAATCTAGATCCGAGATAACATAACAATAACTCTACTCAAAGTCTAATTAGAATCTAAAGGACTCTATCTCTCGCCCAACTACCAGCTCTCTATCCTTAGCCAAAACTCAAGGCTATATATAAGTCTGTATTAAACGACAAATCTCATTGAACTAATTTATTTTTATATACAGGTGAAGGAAACTGACTGGGATAGCCCGGCAGGGTCAACATACAGATAATTAAGATATTTATATTACTAGCATGGATAACATAGTTAACATTACACATTGATAAAGAATATATTACATGTCTTTCTATGAAATGTCCTATCTATGATATGCTTTTCTAGGAAATGTCCCAACGCCAGATGAAAAGCTAGATAGGTGTTGGGACATTTCATAGAAGACATTTCATGGAAAGATATTTCATTGAAAGACATTTCATAGATAAAAATATCATAGATAGGACATTTCATAGATAAGACATTTATGTATGCGTGTTTCTTCTTTTTAAACTTTTCATTGTGGTTCTATATGTAAGAATCTTAATTATGTATACAACATAAATATATCAATAACAAAAATTCGCAGATTTTATTATATTTTTTCGCCCTTTTAAAAAATGAAAAAACTTTTGGACACACATCTTGTAATTTTAAGAATAAATAACCCTTCCCTGGGGTTATGTGAGGTCCCTAAAAACATTTAGGCCCGATCGGTTCAGCCGTTTTGACGTTTATTGAATACAAACATACTAAAAAACACTAATACAAGCATACTATATAAAAAGATATACATATATGCATATATCGTGGTCGAAGGGAATGGATTCTATAACATCATAACTCTCCGTTATGCGTCGTTATTGTTGACAAGGAATATTTACCAAGATATATTAATATAAATTTAGGGACCAGTATCATGCTATTGAAAGTACACATATAGTAGAGATATATATATATATGCTACATAGTACATATACATATACTAGTTAAGTTCCATGTTTGTTATTTAACAATGATATAATCCGAAATAATGTGCATTAACAATATGAAAACTAAGACAACTCTAAATAATTGCTGTATAGTTAGTCTACATAATATAAAGACATACAGGGTTAGCCAAAAAAGATGAAACTTTAGTGACGACTGTAATGTAGTGAATTTATATTATCTGCTTCTTTATATTCATTATTCCCCGCAGCTGTAAACTTGTTTCTTTCTTGCTGAATTATTAAATATGCCGTTTACAATACTACATATATATTAAACTTGAGATAGTAATATTTTAAGAGTTTCTGTTCCTCTTTGCAGTCTTATCTTTTATGCGTAACCCTGTAACAGCTGCACACATTCTACTAAATAAATTAAAGGTAAGATTAAAATCTTCAAATAAAACTTCTTTTATTGAAGAGTTATTGAGAAAAATAATAATGTTGTCAGTTTCATAATTATATATAATTTTGGCTTGGGTGTCTGTTTGTTTGTTTGTCTGTTTGTCTGTTTGTTTGCATCCAATAAACGTCAAAACGGCTGAACCGATCGGGCCCAAATTTTTTGTGGGACATCACGTGACCACAGGGAAGGTTTATGAATGATCAAAATTTCAAATATTTGTCTCAATCAAAATTCGATCTTCAGTAAACTTTTGAAAATTTTGAAAATCCACGAAATTTTTTGTGAAAATCCGCGAATTATTTTTGTTTTGTGTTACGATGTACACAAAGAGAACATATTCACAATTAATTTAGAAGATGGGCACGAAGCGCCCTCTAAGGCTAGTATTATATGTAACCAGATAAATTTGCTTCTATTAAACTAGAAGAACATGATGCCACCAATATATCACCGTTTCTTTCTGTCTAGTCCACAGTGTGAAATGTATTCCTTTATATATGGTTCACTTTTATGACAAAATTGTTAGGGTGCTAGGATAAATTTTAAAAAATTCAAAAGTTTCTCTGCAATTAATTAAGTTTTTTTGGATAAAAATTTATACTAGGCTTTTAGGGCGCTTCGCGCCCAACTTCTATGTCAACTTTTAATTGTGGCTCTATCTGTGAACATCTTTTTGTATACGGTGTAAACCAAAAGTTTGAGGATTTTATATTATTTTTTTGCGCATTTTTAAAATTTTACAAAAATAAAAAACTTGTAAACATAAATTCTTTAAATTTTGATCATTCATAAATCTTCCCTGGGGCCACGTGAGGTCCTACAAAAAATTTGGGCCTGATCGGTTCAGTCGTTTAGACGTTTATTGGATACAAACATATCGACAACAGTAAGCAAAATTTATAGATAGATTGATATTCTATCCATAAGTAACTTTTAGATCTGTAGCTCAATTAGTAAAAATTGTAATGAAATATTTGGGATTTTTAAAACTCTTTTCAGCCGTTTAACTGTCCATAAGTGATTAACTAAAATATGTAAAATTACTGCTTTTTATCTAATATTTCTGTTATGCATACTGTAAAGAAATTTTGTCAAGCCATATATTCCAACAAAATGCGTGGCTTGGAGGTCAATTCTGCGGGGTTGATGGCGGCCTAGCATCCCTTCCCTCTTGGAAACATAAACATATTAAATATGCATATAAATGACTGTGCTCTGTGTAATTGAGTGAAAGACTGAGGTTTCCCTAAATATCAAATCAAATCAAATCAAATATTTATTGCACGAAGATTAGAATTTATACAATATAAATATCACATAGAAAAGTATAATCCTCGTGAGGGAAAATTAATCTGGGGGGGCCAGGTTTTCATAATTTTCCCCATAGCTTAGTGACAGGGGGGGGGAACCTGGACGAAAGGACGAGTAGGTGGGGTGGCAGAAAATATAAATAAACATGATAATAGACAATATATTGCTTAGCTCTATCAAACCAATACAGTAACAAACATTACAAATATTTAATTTAGAATAAATTAAAATGATTGAAATGTTTGAAGGAAGACATATCCCATTTTTAATACTGCAAAGAGTTAATGTATATCAGAATATACATGACATTCAAGTTTTAAGTTTAGGTGAAGAAAGAGATGTACATACATGAAAGGTTGGAATTTTAAAATCTAATTATCTAGTGTTTAAACAACAAGGACACAATAGCCTTTCACAAGTGAACCCCTGTAATTTATCAATAAGATAGGCTTTAGAGACAGATNAATTTTTTCCTCAACTAGACTTGGAGTAAGATCAGTAAAAGTGAAATCCGAGCCAGAGAACTCATTTAAGTAAGTTTCAGGATTTGAATCAGTAGCGGGTAAGTTCTCAGCAATGGATTTACCGATGTTGGAAAAGAAATTATTAAAAGAATTGGCAATTTCAACCGAACCATTTATTTGAACCCCATCTAGGTTTAAATATATGGTGTTTATAAGGAAAAAAGAAGATGTTCTGCATAAACAATGAACATTTTTTTTTACACATAAACTTCCAACCAGTGCAGTAGACCTCTGCGCTCTAAATTACGATTTAAAAAAAATCACTTATTTCGGAAGCAAAAGTTGATTAGTGATTTTTAAATTTTGTAATTTAGTATGTGGAAATATTATGAGAAAACAATTAAATATTTACGGTGAAAGTTAAAAAAAGTAAATGAATGAGAGACATAATTCTAACCATTATAATCTCGTTCCAAATGTGCTACTGAATTTTACGAGATGATAAGGAGGAAATATAAAAAGTCATTAAAAGATTAAAAGTACATATTACAGTAATAATATGTGTATGTTTTATTATCAACTCTGAAAGTTTATTTATAAAAAAGATGTACTTAAAAAAAAAGTAACAAAAGTGAGGAATTTCCCCATATTTGCCATGGTTACTCGCCTTGGATAATTTCCAAGGAATTTCTTCGGAATTTGTTACACAAAAAACAGTCTCTGGAATTGGTTACAAGAAATTCTCAGTAATTGGTAACGATAATTTTCAGAAATTGGTTTCAAGAAATTTCCAGGAATTTGTTATAAGAAAATCTCAGGAATTGGTAACAAACCATTCTCAGGAATTGGTCACAAGAAATTCTCTATCTCTGGTCAATATACCTGTAAATCTCATAAGTAGTTCCTGAGAATTTCTGTAAGGAGAATCTTTCTCGAATATTTCCAAATTTGGTCGACGTTTTCCCGGAATATTCCAGTTACCTAGTCACGATAATTTCTTGAAACCAACTACATGAAATCGGGAAAAGATTTCCGGAAATATCCGCGGAATTTCCCCAAAATTGTTAGCTGGAATCCTATAAAGCATAAAATATTAATCTAAATTCCAATCTTAAAAATATGTGTTGAGAACTTGAGATTGCATTCATCATTCATCAAATATTTTGACATGTTTAGTAAGTAAGTTTGAATACACCTCATATAAATCATAATTTATTTCAAAACTTGAAAAGAAATATTTTGATATCAGACTCAGCCATTGGGCTGTTTTTCTTCTCTAATATAGACTGGCGGTGTGGCCATGGTTTTCCCATTTTAGTTAAGATATGTGAGTTTTTTACATGGTCCTTTTCAAGGCCAGCTCATTAAATATGTGAGACCTCTAATTTTAAATGTTAGGGTGCTAGGGAGGTTTTAAAACAAGTTCAGAAGGTACCTAGAAAAATGTAGAAAAAAATATTTATTTTTACTATTAACAAATATTGCTAACGACACAAGTACTTACATCCATTTTTCAAGGGGTCTTTAAATAACTTTATATCTGTAGTTCAACTAATAAAAAAATTTAGAGTCCAGTGTAAGCTGTCTTTGAGATATGGATACAAAACCACAGGAGAGGTGAATGGAAAACACCCCGACCCCCAACCGTGAAAGAGTTAACGGGTTTTGGTGGAACAACAATCATATATTATATTTTTACATTTAATCATATATTTTGTGAATATATTTTATAGTTTGCAAAATTTGGAATAGAGCTTTTACTGTTATTTCGATCAACCAAACATTATCACAGGCAGTCATAGTACATTTGAATTTCCGAGCCGGGTCAACCTTTCCGGTCCCAGTTTGTATTGTATCGCCCGTACATATTTTAAAATATGAACACTTAATATGTAACTTTCCTCTTCCTTTTTGGAGTGGGGAGAAATCTTCACACAACCTCAAAATTTTGAAGTTTCTACATTTTACTCTTCAAAGAATTAATTTAGATTTTTTTGTTAAATTAATTTTTTTTGCTATTTTTAATGCATTTTTGCTATTTTTATAAACAGTTTTGTATCATTTCATGAATACCATACTTGCAAACTTTATACTAAATAGATGAGAGAGAAAAAAATCATCACCATAGAAAAATCAGAAAAGCTGACTAATGGTGTCATCTAAATTCTAAGCTCAAATTTAGCCATTATGATATCTCCGATATATTTAATCAGATAAAGGTTTCAAGGGAACCTTTTGTAAATATTGCATGCTTCTCTGTAAATGAACAATCCCTTTAAGAACCCCATTAAAGAATAAGTTTATAATATCATAATCTCCAACCGTTAAAAATAAGCGTTGTATTCACCATTTGTTCTGACAGATACAAATTAATCCAAGAAAACTTTTTCAATTTATTCTGCTAAGCAGAACATTAAACATCGTAAAAGAATGATCAATATTGCTGCTTTATTTAAAGTTTGTTGGAATTGATAAAAGTGAAAATGGTCATTTTAAACTTTTCATTACGATGACAAAAATAAAAACAAAAAACTTTTACAAATTTATGATCTAAAAATTTTATCATTACATGTTATTTATTTTTGATTGCTCCGATTTGATAATTCTGCATGAAAATGTAAATATAAAAGTACAAAAATTACAAACTTACACTACAAATATATATTTAGATACAGAAAATATTCTTGATTTTTAAATCTAACTGCCGAAAAAATTTGTAACAGCAATAGAACCGAAAAATTATATATGTTTTACTCTTATCTGTCTAATGTTAACGCCAAGCTGAATCTTGAATTGTTTAGACTATAATCTTTGACCGTTATATACTATTTGACCGTCTTGCAGCCTGTTAACATGGATCCTGGAACCTGAACAGTGAACATGGTGTGGAACCTGGACATGGTTTGGAACCTGAACATGGTTTAGAACCTGCACAATGCACACGGTTTGGAATCTGAACATGGTTTGGAACCTGAACATGGTTTGGAACCTGCACATGTTTTGGAATCTGAACATGGTTCGGAACCTGGATATGGTATAGAACATGATTACAGTTTGGAACCTGGATATGGTTTGGAACCTGGATATGGGTTGGAACCTAGATATGGTTTGGAACCTGTATATTGTTTGGAACCTGGATATGGTTTGGAACCTGAACAAAGTTTGGAACCTGGATACGGTTTGGAACCTGGATATGGTTTGGAACCTGAACATAGTTTGGATTCTGAACATAGTTTGGAACCTGGATACGATCAAGGTTTGGTTCCTCTTTTAAGCGTGGAACTAGAACTTTCTCAAGTCTGCATGTTTTTGTAGGCTCTAACTCACAGATCTCACTTGGAATATTCTGAACATAACTTCTTGATTCGTAATGACACTTCCTTTCCCCCTGGACAAATGCACAGTTAGATGTGGCACAAACTTCTTTTGGAAACCTTTGGCATACAGTTTCAGGTTTGAATTTGATCACAGCTTTCTTTTCAATGATACACTCCTGAACTGACCGATGGCAGCTTTCATTTCTTGGTTTTAATAGTTCTCGGTTTTCTGTTTTATCAGTTGGTTCTGTATAACACTTCTCCTTTAACACCATTTTACAGAGAGGTTCATACTGCTCTACTGTTTGGTTCTTAACCCTAGTTTCACAAGAGATTTCATAATCGGTCCAACAAACCTCATCTCCAACAATTGTGTCATTGCAAACCTTCTTTAGGGGCTCTGTACAGATCTCAATATTTTCATCTGCTGTCATTGGTTGGAATGTAATTTGACATTTCTGCGTGAAAACTGTTGAACAATTTTCAACTATTTTAAACTTCTCTTCAAGCTGATCTAAGAGTATTTGGTCTTGAGGAGTTTGAACACTTTTCTCTGCTTGATATATTGGAGATTGATTTGGAAACAGTATTTTCAGATCAAAAACAATCTGCTTTCCTGACCTTTCTTCTGCTTCCAAATTATGATCATCGTCATAGGTCTCATTGATGGGATTATCCGACTGACTGGGAGAAGATGGTATTGTTTGTTCGTTTGTGAGGACTGACTTGTAATCCATTATTGCTGACGCCTTCAGGGAACTCAGGAGAAAAAAAACACCCAAAATATTATAATTTTTCATCTTCAAAACAGAATTTCGAAGTTTTCTGTAATTCAAATTCTTTATCATTAACCTTGTTTTGAGGGTCGGAAAATTATTCAAGGGTGTGACTGTCAAAGAGGGTACGTTTAGCTGAATGAGACTGTAAGTATAATTTAAATCAACTTTCTATGCAAAAATGGAAATGACCGATTGCCAATGGTACCCGAAAAGATTTGTCTGATCAAGCATGAATAAGATATCAATAATTACAATTTCCAAAAGGCGTGATAAGCTTTTCAATCAAATCAAATTTAACTTTGAACATTTTTGGATTTAAAGAGATCGCAGGATAACCGAAAATGGCTTTAAAAAACCAAATCACATATATTAAGTATCAAAACTTCAATAAACATTAAACAATGATGGGTATTTATAAAACTTTGAATACAGTACATCAAAATTAGATAAAATTGATAAAGTTGTACGAATAAATGACTTAGTTTTGGTTTTATTGCATTAAAGTTAGTTATTTAACCCTATTCCTGCTGGGGGGGACCCCCCCCCCAGCATATCCTGGTTTTCTAGTACCCCAGCAGGGATAGGGTTAAACTTCTTGACTTTTTCAAATTTATAGTTGTGACCAATTTTTGAATATTTTTTTTTTGATGCATAGGTATAGGATGGAAGACGTTTAAATGTCTGGTTGGTAGTCCATAACTTTTTAAAAATTATTTATTATTATTTGACAAAGGCAATTTTTTGGACTATTGGAAAAAAACTAATGCAATTTGTATAGGACAGGTGGATCTGTTTCAACCTATCATGATGTATTTTTACCCATCTGGATTCTGGAATAAATCGAAAATTTGACAAATATTGACTTTCCAGATGTTTCATGGAAAAGCACTGGCTTATTTATAACTTAATTATTTACAAAATTTTTGTTTATTATTGTTTTTTTTTTCTTTTTGTTTTTTTTGTTATTCTATATTTTAAATTTTGGTTTTTCTCAGATTATATATTCTATATGAAGTACGAGACACGTAAAACCTAGGATGATCATTTTAGGAAAATTAAAAAGAGAACGGAAACGGGTTTGCTCTAGTTTTTGGACTTTTGAATTTTGATAAGCCAGTTGTGAGCCATGATAAGCTGGGAGCTGCCGACCATAACAGTGTCGATCAGGATGCACTGTTCGAGCCGAGCTTATCAACTTGGGGACTGAGTCCTATTGGCTATATACTTTTAGTTATAGTATTCATTCAAATAACATTATTTGAAAAGCCCTTGAAAAACACTTGAGTAAACTGTTCTAATATTTAATTTTACTAACAAAATTGTAAATATTCTAATTTTATATTGTCTTTTCAAAGAAAATGGCTAAATTTTTGTTTGTTAATTTGTGATTTGTAAATAAATATTTTAAAAACTTTATTGGTCTCAAAAATCAATGTAAATCCACAGAAAAAAATTTAAAATGCCAGATTTTCCCATATTTAAAACAACAAATTCAATTAAATGGAAATATTAAAGAAAAGTTATAATTAAAAGAATTGGATCCCTGAATGATTTCTCTTGTTGCTCTAAATGTATGCCCAAGAAAAGGCGATGGTAAACTGAACAACATATTAAGCGCAGCATCTTGCTGTCCAGAGCCAAGCGCAACTCAAATAAATCCGGGATATCGGACTCATGGAATAGATATATATGGAGAGAATATATATAAACTGGAGATATTGGACTCATGGAATAGATATACATGGAGATCGGACTCATGAAATATATATACATGGAGATAATATATATAAACTGGAGATATCGGACTCATGAAATATATATACATGGAGATAATATATATAAATACTTGGAGATAAAATATTTAAACTGGAGATATTGGACTCATGGAATCTATATATACATGGAGATAATACATATAAACTGGAGATATCTGACTCATGGAATATATATACATGGAGATAATATATATAAAGTGGAGATATCGGACTCATGGAATATATACATGAAGATAATACATATAAACTGGAGATAACGGACTCATGGAATATATATATATATGGATAGAATACATATAAACTGGAGATATTGGACTCATGAAATATATATACATGGAGATAATATATATAAACTGGAGATATTGGACTCATGGCATATATATACATGGAGATAATACATATAAACTGGAGATATTGGACTCATGGAATATATATACATGGAGATAATATATATAAACTGGAGATATTGGACTCATGGAATATATATAAATGGAGATAATATATATAAACTGGAGATATTGGACTCATGGAATATATATACATGGAGATAATATATATAAACTGGAGATATTGGACTCATGGAATATATATAAATGGAGATAATATATATAAACTGGAGATATTGGACTCATGGAATATATATATATGGAGATTATATATATAAATTGGAGATATTGGACTCATAGAGTAGAAATACACGGAGAGAATATATATAAACTGGAGATATTGGACTCATAGAGTAGATATACATGGAGAGAATTTATATAAATTGGAGATATTGGACTCATAGAGTAGAAATACATGGAGAGAATATATATAAACTGGAGATATTGGACTCATAGAGTAGATATACATGGAGATAATATATATAATCTTGGATATTGGACTCAAGGAATAAATATATATGGAGAGAGTATATATAAACTGGGATATTGGACTCATGGAGTAGATATATATGGAGATAATATATATAACCTTGGGATATTGGACTCAAGGAATAGATATATATGGAGAAATTATAGATCCCGGAATCTTGGAAATTCTGTGAATGAAAGCTAGGGTAATTTAAAAATAACGTTTATGCAGTTCTTTTAGGTTGAGAACATTAAAACAAGGAAGATGAAACTCTAATCTATAGAAGCAGGGACCAAATTTAATTAATTTCAACTACTCACCACCGTTTTAAATTTGAATCACCGATTCAGAACCTTTCTTAACCTTTAACTTTAAATCGGTAGCTCTTTGAACTGGCAGTAGGTGGTTCTGCGACCTAGATCAAATTCATTAAATCTGGTCTCAGATTGTATTCAATATCCTTAGATGTATATGATATGATATTATATTTTCAATATGGTTATCTGAAAACATCTGATCATGAAGAGTTAAACCATAAAAGAGAGAGAACCATAAATAGTAATCTATTATAAATATACAAAAATATAAGTTTATAAATAAACAAACCAGAAAATGTACCTTTTTTTTGTCTTATAGAGTCGGTCAAAGGGGGATCAACCTAGTTCATGCTTTAAACACTAATTATTCTTAACAATTGTCAATTTCTTATTATTCTTTAGCATCTGAGGCTTATATTCTAAAATCCTAAGACATCTGCTTAGATATTTTGGACTGTTTTCATTAGATATCTATTTATATATATCTACCCATTTCATTGATGGAAATNGAAAATCTATATATAGCCTGGGGGGGAGCGTTTGGCGCCCCCCAGAATAAGGCCTCAGAGAGTTGAGATGGGGGAGTGCATTCAACTAGTCCAACTATTCAAGGCATGTTCATTAAAAAAATGTTTTTACTTTTTGACAAATATTTACATGTAACACATGTTATTACGTCCGTTTTTCAAGGGCTTTTTACATAAATAAGTCTTAGTCCTATAGCTTAAGAAACTAAATAGTTATTAAGCATTTCTGATGTATTTGAAACACAGACCAGCTGTTTGATTGTCCGGCCTTCACCCTACACTATGCATAAAAAAACATTGTTTGCAAAACTTGTTTACAAATATGATGTTGGTAAAGAAGTTTTAGCAATGAAAGCCGTTCTAAGTTATTTCGAAAAACACAGGGGGGGAAGGTGGACACACCCCCCCCCTCGTGATAGGGTTAACAGCTTGATGAAAGGTTCCTTCTGAGGGTTTTATTAATACATTTATTCATTTAAGCTAAGATCTGAGTTTTTAAATTTCTGTCGGAAAGTTTTTTTTTACTTTACCAAACTACAAGCTGAGCGTCTCTTATCATACTGGATTATCTTCTAGCTTTACTGCCAAAATACGCACTAAATACTAGAAAACCTGTCATTTTCTGCATAACATCTTTTATGTTTATGGTCGTTTAGATTTATTTAAATGATTCATTCTTTTAATTTTTCTGTTTAGTCCCTTAAATCGCAATTTATAGCTTTAAAAGATCCACTATTATGCGGTACACCCTGTATACTTAGATCTACTTCCGGTCATTGGTTTTCAACATTTTAAGTTGATTATATTGAAAAAAAAACAATCTAAAGGAGTACGAACGTGCCTGGCACTAACATTAACTCAAGTCATTATTTAAAACTTGATTCTCAACAAAGATTTTTTTTGTTAATATATAACCATGTAATGTAAATGTTCCTGATAGTGTCAATTAACTTGATGTTCACAATAACCTCAAATGTGTGTCACCAAAATATAGGATCATCATTTATAATTCGAAATACTTCAATAGGAATAATGGATCAATTCATTTTGTTACAAAGTGTATTTCTCTTGCTCCGGTCTATCGGAGGAGACCGGAGTGAGAGAAATATGCAAAGTCATAAGTGTAAAATATAATAAGGAAAACGCAATTTTCCTACATTAAGGGACATTTTTCTAAGATTAAATAAAAAAATGTAAAAACAGAAAATAAAGAACACATACAGTTGCATTTATTTTACTGTAATACAAGCTCTCACAATTTTGTCGGACACAAAAACTAAGTTGACAAGTGTGACGTAGGAATACAGCAGTACTGAGAGTGTACAAACGTTGCCATTATTGTACTTGATAATCTATTTGGTAAAAGTTATGTACTAGACGCTTTGTCACAGACAGTTTTTCAATTGATACTCCTTAGTTTTTATGGAAACACACACAGAATAGAGAATATAGATACCATATTATTTCATGTGAGCTTCCGTGGGTTCATAGTATAGGGGGGGGGG